ATTCAAAAAAACTCAAAAAATAACCCATAAAAAATTAATTACGAAACCGTGTTTAAACGCGGAAACCGCGTGCGCTGTGCCGCAGCAAAACCGCGTGTAAACGCGGAAAAACCGTGTTTTTTTATTAATGCCCTAGATATATCACAACAGATATGAAAAAATGCCAAAAAATTGACTTGTGAGTGATATTTTACAATAAATATGAAAAAATAATAATAAAGTGACTTGGGACTCTGGGAGTGAAACTAGGTGAAAAATAGAGGGGGGGGGGGTACCTGAGGTACCTGTATTTTCTTGAAAAAATGAACAGGTACCTAGGTATAAACAGGTACCTAGGTCTGAAAAAACAATCTCTATTACAGGCTGAAGGAGTGAGAATTAGGGGTACCTTTGGCTGAGGTGCCCTAGGTTAAATTGTATGCAGATTCAGAATCTGAAATAATAATTAAATATTTATTTATACTTTCTAAGTTATTTATTTTCTTTATGTGTTTTTATATTATTTACATAAGTAATAGTGTTTCTTTTACTTATGTAATATTTTTACTTTATACTTAGATTTTTTAAGTAATTTATTATTTTTATTTGCTATGACAGGTTTTCTCTGCCATAGTAGCAAGCTGAGAGTCAGCAATATTGAACAATTGGTTCAGAGCTGCGCCAAGCCAAACAGCATCAGCAGAAAATTCCCTTCTGGGAGGCCATCAAGCCCTCCACCCTTGGTGCTCAGAAGCCTGGCCGCAAGCCCTGCCCCTCAGTTATGTTGCCTGCCAGCCAAGAACCAAGCTACATTGGTTCTTGGTTGGTGTGCAATCCCACCCGCTCCTCCTGGAGGGGTGGGTTCTTCTGCCCTCCCCTTGGGAGCCAACATCCTTGGAAAGACATGATTCCAAGGGGTGTGCGATCAAACCCACCCCTCCCTGAGGGGTGGATTTAATTTCATGCCCCTTTTGGAGGGACAGGGGCGTGGGCGGGCGGGTGGGTGGGGGTGTGCAATTATCAACACACTAGGAGTAATCTTGGTCTTAAATTTGGTCCTTCAGCACAGTGATAGTACATCCACATAGCTGACAATTTCCCTCCCAGCCGGTCCAACCCTGGTTAACAATTGTATTTAAAAAAGTTCTCAGATATCCTAAAAAGCATTGGTGATCAAAAAACCCAAGGCTGTATAGAATTTCCTTTCAGATGTGCAATTTTTAAACATATCAAATAATTCTCTAATTTAACTTCCATGCCATTTCAAGATCAATCTACATATATACGCTGAATTTATCTTGATTTTCTTCTGATGGATGTGTGGTCAAACTATCTACTTATTATGGCATGTACAGCACTAGAAGTTCCAATGGCAGAGGTTAATTCACAAAAGCCTCTCATCATAGAGATCATAATGCCAATCTTGATTTACTAATTTGTTTCACGGATTAAAGTTAAGTTTTCCGACATAGGGATGTCAGTTTCAACAAGCACCTTTCCTGGTGCAAGCTCAAAGGTTTTAATATTCTTCCCTTCCTTCACAATGCTGAGTTTAATTGAGCGTTGTGCATGATTTTTAAGGATCCATCTGTTACCATAGTTGTAACAACAGACAGATTCAGGGTCGTCTATGTTATTTTGCTTCATTGGATCTAAATGCAGCCAAACTGACTTGGTTGGGCTTTGCCACAAATTCTGACCCCAAAACTGGTGCTATCCATTGACTCATCAATGTTATGGTCAATAGGAATGCAAAGATGTGATGGAATTGGCATTCCATGCTGATTGTGTCTTTTTGTAGATGCAGTTTTGTTTCTAGTAGAAAAGCATTGGTCAGCAGCAGCCCTGGAAGTGCCAACTTGCTAGATATTGGCCATAAATTGATTAACTAACCTTCCTCTGTCCAGCTGAAAAATTAGCTTGGGGTACTCCTTCAGCAAAGTCTCAAGTATTCCCTCTATTGGTGTGCTAAGAATGAAAATCAATTGATATGAATTGCAGACAGTTTCAATGTTAGCCTAACATAGTAGTACATCATGATGAACCTGGAGTAAGACCATCTCCATCCGGGGAGGTAAACTGCGGTTGTAAACCAAATTTACCTCCCCAAGCCCAAAATTCCCCTGCCACCGGGGGTGCTAAAGGGGAGGTAAATTTAGTTTCCCCCCCCTCGGGAGGTATAGCGTTGCTAGATGTGCAATCGCTATACCAACCCAACGGTTTCACAGGTCAATCCTGGTGAAATCCGGAGTTCCCCCCCCCTATCGACTAGCCTTTCACGCGCGAGGCATTGAGGATAGCAACCTGTGGTGGAAAATAATTTTTCCCAGGGTTGCTATCCGCACGCCGCAGCTCCCGAGCTGGTAAGTATACCAACTCGGATGCCTCTTTGGGGTGGAGATGGTCTAACAGGGGTACAAGTCGGAAGTCCTCACCACCACAGAATTTATTGACAGGTTTACCTATGAGCTTGTGAGAAATGTGAAATAAGTGAGCCAGTGGCAAGAAACTCTTGAGGAAGTGCCTTTTATACCCTTTTGGGACAGCAGCGCAGTCCTCACTGCACCATATGAGCCGACACAAAATGACACACCAATCTCCTAAAATTCATAAAACGCAGCAGCTGAATTGAGTTTTATTTGCGGTCGGACCTTGCCTATCTAAAGTTTTTGTGAACTGCACCACCCGAAAGTTCATAAATAACTGTTTGGCCTATCTATGACCATAAACATGTCTGCAAAGGTGGTGAGAAACATAAATTCATGACTTGGTAGCGGGACAAGTACTGGGAAAAGTCGGTACTGGAATGAACACGAGTGGCCCTTCATCGTGTCTAACAAAAATCAAAGACACCCTACAGGTCCAAGAAGATAGAAGGACCGCTCGGGTTAACTTTGTGCGTTCATGACCGGTTGAACGGTTGGGTCTGGTTCAATGATCCGTTCAACACCGCAGCAACTGCGCTAAACTACATCAGCGGCCAACAAACTTGGCTGTTGGGGTTAGCTGTAGCACCAAAAATCCTGCCTCTAACATTATGTAGTTTCACCTCATTGGTTGCCTTTCTTTTCAACCTTAACCACCTGTCTTAAGGAATTTCTTGAAGTCCAGACTTCCCTGGCCTAGTCTAATTTTTTCTTATTCTGCTCTAGTGTCCATGGTTAGAGTACTACGTCCACCACTACCAATTAAGAAAAATAAACTTTAAAATGATAAGGCCCTCTAATCTATAAAAGCTTCACAAAAGGAGGGACTTGATCAAGTTTAATTTCATCTGGATTCAAGCAGAAAATTTTCCTTAGCATGGTGGTTCTGTTACTTGAGGCTGAGCTCCCAAGTCTGTTTGTTTTCTTGCCTAAGTGTCCTGAAGTAACCAACGACGGTGTTGAATTACAAAATTTTAAGAGGGTGAAGGCGGTATTTAATTTTGGGCAAAGGGATGACAAAGTGATGCCAATTTACTTCTAATTATTTGTAAAAGAAGCTTGCAAGTGTCTTTTCAATAAGATCAAGTGCGAGACTTAATTTGCCTCTGAGAATCAAGCTGATCAGTACTAGTGGGTGTTTTCTCACCAACTTTTGGTCTAGAAGCTTAATTGCATCAAGTACAAAGTGGTCAAGTTGTGGGAGCAAGGTACCAGATGCATAATGAATACATAAGGAAGTAAAGAAGATTGAACAACAGATACCACTGACTCATGAGTGACACGACTGACATGAGTCTGAAAGAACAAAGTGAAAAAGAAGGAGAGACGGCTGCAGCACACGTAAATTTCCAAAAATAAAAAACGCTTTTTGGATGGTAGGTCAGACTATCTATTTGTTTGTGTATGTAAATTGGTGCAAACAGCAAATGTTGAGTGACAAAAGCATCATATGGCATTTAGTAACTACAATTCACATTAGAAGGCCAGAAGTCTCTCCGGCTCTGTCTTGGTTTTTTTATTTTTTGCCTGGGATCAGGAGGAAGTTGACATGATTTTTAAGTTCAAATTTTCGGTGCTAGGGACGTTTCTTGCATCACGCTCGTGATTTGGTTCAAGGCGAAAGATGTCTATTTCCGAACATCCCCTCATGGCTCGGAGGTGAACCAGTGTTTCCCCGTCGTTTCTAACCCTCCATTGGGTTCTACCTTCAGGAATGTAACAAAAGATAGCATCTCGGGGTTCGGTATCATCTGTATACAAACGCAGCGAATTGTTTCGATCGGGATATGCCACCACGTGCGATTTCATAACTTGAGTTGTTGATCGACACATCAAAGTGATGGCCAGTAGGAACGCGAAGACAAGATGAAACGGGCATTCCATGTTGATAAAGGTTTTTTTTGTGGACGCAATTGTTTTCTAGTGTTTTCTCGTAGAAAATACGCAATCAGTGGCAGCGTTTAAATCACCCACCAGCTAGATGTTGACCAGAAGTTGATGGACTAACCTTCCAGAACCTTCCCTTTTCCTCTGGTAAATTTATAAAGTTGAAGGCGAGCTAGTCTCTCACTTCAGTAAAGTGTTGAAAATTTCCCTCCCATTTGGTGTAATTGAACACCACATATGGTGGCAAAGAATTCGCCAGAGAATGAAGTGAATGACCAAAGCACTGTGAACACCCAAGCGGGCATACACTGACTTGAATTATTTGATGCTTTTGCCTTTTTCGCTATTTTTTGCTTGTTTTGATTGATGAGAAACTGCCGAAGCTAGCCGAGAGAGATATAGACTGAGAGCAGTGGGTTCTGGAACACTTGGGGACTGTAGTGGTTGGAGGGGGGCCACATGTGCCTCGGCCTCCGGGAGGCTATTGCTTTGATTCATGCAGGCGAAACTATCAAAACAGGTCTGCACAAGCTGTACTCATAACTGGTTGTCCGTTTAAGACATTTCAACGTTCTTTTGTTAGAATAGTTAAGGCTGCCGTTGATAAAAGCACCCTTAGCAAATATGAAATCTTGGTAAATCAAGAACTGCAAAAATGCTGATTATATTCAGGAAAAGAAACTCATTACATGCAAGGATTGATTAAATTTAATTATCATCTATGCTATTGGTGAAGTCTGGCCCCCAGGCGCTTACTGAGGGGGAGTGCCTGGTTGGGTCTGGGGAAGAATTGGGGTCTGCAGTTGGGGGGGGGGGGGGGTCCAGGAACCAAAGTTTGCAACCAGTCCTGGATAAAGCAAAACAAAGTCAGGGATGGAGGGCAGGAAGAGAATTGAAGCAACAAGCACTCACATGAATGCAGGTCCGGTGAAAGTGATGCGTTGGGTGGCATGGTAGTACCACAATGCCATCGCTTTCAGCATAGTCCTCCAAACAGACTGTGCACTTCGTGGAGTCGTGCTGTGGCACATCGGAGCCCAATTGTGCCAGGTTTGTATTGATGAGGCTATCGAGTAGGGGGGCGACATTTTCTCTCAATGCGTCGATGTCTTCGGGGTTGCGAATGTTTGGGTTGGCCAAAAGTCGCCCGATCTGCTCACCTGCCTCGTCGAGATAGACTCCAATTATGTCCACGGCCTCATCGGATAAGCTGATCATGGTTCTTCGGAGGGCAACAGTGTTTTCCAAGAAATCTAGGACCGCTGGGGTATCACGATCTGCGCGGGCAGGGTTTTCAACAAGATCTCGCCATAATGCGTTGGTCGCATTGACAAAATTTTGAATGACAGTTCGTTGTGCAGGGGCGAGAGTCTGCAACATTTGGTTCCAGGTGTGTTCCCAGACATTGGCATCAGTCTCACGAGGTTGTTGCGCCGCAAATTGCGGCTGCGCTTGAACGTGACGAGCAAGTGCCAGGGCGTCTTCAGCAAAAGCAGGATCGAAGTTTGGGTCGCGCAATCTGGCGACACCCTGGTCATCTAGTTCAAACTCAATGGGCCCTTGGAGCCGTCCGGCGAGACCATGGAGTTCTTCAGGTAAGTCGACCCAAAATCCGTCCTGCTCGTACTCAACAGGCGGGGGGAGCGCAATTTCGGGCACGGCAGGTAGTTCATCCTGCTCGGCGGGGACGTGAGCTTCAGGAGTGGTGGGAGCGCGAGGCTCAAGAGGTTCTTCAACAGGCCGGGCGCCGCCAGGGCTTGTTCCGCGTTGGTCGGCATCAGATTCCGAGGCGGTGGGGGTGATATTGGGGTCCATTTTGTGGTGAATCTGGCTAGTTTTTAGTGCTGAAGGGCTTTGGGATGGTTTAGGACTCGTGAGGAACGTTGAAGATACAGTTGATGCCGGGCGTGAAGATGAGGATTGAGTCATGTCAAGCGGCATAGACCAACATCTCTATATAGCCACCACGACTGTGGAGCGGAGCTCTGCTAGAGCTGCCAAATGTGTTGGTCGCAACTCCTTTGTTTTTTCTTGCAATCGCGGGGTTGGAAAGTAAATTATTTTCTTTGAAAGCATACGCGTCTGCTCAAGAGGAATGTCAGCAAAAATGAGCTGCGACAGATTGGGCGATGGCTTGTGAATGCATTCTTGAGGAGCATCATCCCAAGAATGCGCTACTATTGCAGTTGCCCCGAGCCCTTTCCGTTCCCAAAATTCCTGTGTGATGCGCCTGTTTTCAGATAAAAGCACCCTTTCTAATCTTCCGTTGCTCTACGAGTTGCCGAAAAGCCTCCGTTATTATCCTTTGGGAAGAAGCAGAGAGGTCGCAGAAGTCGATGGTTTTCAAATCTTCTCTGACCCAAGCATCCACTTACATCGATTTTATTTTTTGACAGTATGAGTTTCCCATTTGGTTCTTGCTTCTTGCGCATGTAAGAGGCGGCTTACTTGAAAAGATGGACTTTGGACATTCTTGTCAGATCACAAGCAACGCAGCACACAGGTAGAACAATGCATTGTACAACCTCAATTGTGGGTACTCCCCCATATGATCGGCGAATTCTCACTACACGAATGTACTTCCACTTGACTCAAGCATCAGATTTGTTCTACCACCAAAAGTAAAGAACTGTTTTGAAACGTCATCCACCGAAAACTCTTACAAGCAGCTTTTCTTTTTGACTTATTGCGGTACGGATGGGAAGCTAGTATTGGCCGATGAAAGGCTCGTTTACACGGAAAAATTGCAATTTTTTTGATTGAGCGATGACTAACGACCAAGAGGCTAAAGAGTAATTATTGAACAAGGATCTCGCTCCCTCCATTGGAGTGCGCAAATTGCCCAACCTTCATGACACGATTAGTCCAGTCATCCAGCTTCTTCTTCAAGGCCTCGATCTGTTGCTTATTTAGTACGCGAGGTTGGACCCAAGTAATACTGGCCGTGCCAGAAATTTGATCTAACGAGCCTTTAATTAAACCCAAACTTTGAATTCCAATCAACCAAATCAGCATTGTGAACCATTTTGCCGAGCTGAGAAAGAATTGTGGGGGACTCTACCTCAAGGCTTTCATGACTAAGTGTTCAACTTCATTGATTGGCAGCTTGGTTTCCGAAGCGATCACCCCAAATGGCATAATTCTATCGGTAACACTTCTCCGGAAGACTGCATCGATCAGAGCCATCAAGCAGATCTTCTGCCTCAAAAAGGGATAAGAGTTCTGCAGGATTGGCTGATCGGGCCGAAGGTAATCGACAGGTGAATCAGGGCGGCCTTGTAATAAACCATTTCGGACAAAACAGAAACAAAAGGAAAAAGTGTGTGACTTACTTCTTCGGGGAACCGGGGAGTCAGGCTTTCAAAAACGCCCAAGTTGCCTTCATTGAACGCAAACAACAGCGATCGAATCCACTCGAACGGGGTACCCGTAAGACTTTCTAGAATTTGATGTTGCAATAGCTCTCCGAAGTTGTATATCGTGTCACCAAGAAGTGCAGCAAGTCCCAGGTCATGGGCGCGTTGAATACGAGATTCGACATCCAAATCGACATTCACATTGGGTAGACAAGCCAGGTAGAGTAAAGAAGTCTTGTAATATGACGCATAAGCTGCTTCCCACTGAAAATCGATTTTTGTTTGTATTCGAAATAAGCATTCAGTGGTCAACACGCAAATGAATTCGGCCATTCAGGTATGTAGGGAAGCATACCTTGAAGTAATCAGCCGAGACCCGATAAAATCCCGCACGAACGGAAGTATCCACACTATCGAGTTTATCGATTATCGCTCGACATTCGTCCATAGCACTCTCAGTCTCTTTTGTCTTGCCCAGCAACAGACAAAAGTGAGCAGCCGACATCCGCGCCAAAACATACGCCTCGGGGTTTGTTTGCAGAACGGCCTTAGTACTGGCTCCTGTGGCTTTGCTTGCTCCAGTAGGCTCCTCATCTTTCTTCTCAACCGGCTTCAACTTGTCCGCCAACTTGGACAAGAATTCTAACGCATCATTTGCATCTGTAGACCAATAACCCGACGCAACCAGGTGGATGTTTAGATTTTCCCTCCCAATTTATTTGAAAACAAAGACGATTTTATTATATTTGAAGTTCATGACTCACCTGCAAATCTCTGAGAAATCACTACGGCAATCTCCACCAGTTTCAACGAATTGATCTTGTTTTCGAAATCGGTGATAAAATTGTTGTATAGGGAAATTTGGAATGGAAATGAGCTCGGCAGATTTAAAAATTCCTGGACGGCAATCGTAAGCTGGTACCATAGCCTGTCAAGCAAGAGTTAAAAGGAAAGGTTAATTCCTTGGAAACACTTCACCACGAAGCTTGCGAAGAGATAAAATGCGAACGGGCTGACTTTCGTTGATACAGATCCGAGAAGGTTTCCAGGCCAGGCTTCAGATCCTCTGGTGCTTGATTGCGTAGTTGAGATACGAAGTCGATGGGCTCTAGATCGATATCCATGATGTTTGAGTGGTTTTCGGTTGATGGAAGACTGCTGCTTGTCGAACTGGCTTGGATGGATTGACGTAATCGAGTGTGCGCCCGCGCCAGTACTGGGAGAGGGCCACGCGGCCACGCCTCATTTCCGCGCACAGGGCTTATCCACTTGCAGGCTACGTCATGTTCGTCATGAAATATACCAGACCTATTGCCCCCTGTTTCTCGTACCCAGTGCAGCCTCCGCACATTTCCTATCTCTTTCCCAGTCATTATTTCATGACATGGGTGCTATATCAGGGGTCACCTCAATTTTCAATACTGGCTAAGGCCGAAATTGCTCACTGGAAGACAAATAACTAACCCTTGTCACACCTTGAGACAAGAAATAAATTCTCGGACTGATTAACCAGAGAGCTCAATCCTGGAAGTGAAATCAGAGGATGATGCGGTAGGAATTATTGAGATCTAGAAAATGGATTTAAATTGAAACACAGCTTATCCGCAATGATCCAGGGACCAGGATTACAATATAAATACATGTCATCTTGTGTTCACTGAAAGTTGAACTTAATGAATTTTAGTGACTGATAAAACAAGGTATCAGCCATCCTCAGACTGAAATATATTACCCAGGCGTAGAAGGGAAATTCTGGGATAAGGCTAGTTTTACCACCTCCAAGATGCAACTAACTCATGAAGACTTGAATGAGTGATCCTATGTCACTTTTCTGCCCCAGGGCCAAACCTCTCTGGTGCGATGAAGTTTCGGACCCCATAATTTGGAGAGGTGGATCAATCCATAGTTGGTACACCATACTTGAGGTTGAATCCTGTCTCCAGGAATCCATCAGCGCTCTTGTTACTCTACAAATACAACGTTGACTGAATGCCTCCAAACAAGGTTCAAAACCCTTCCCGGGCAGAAACTCTCAGTGTGTGCCGTTTGCCTCCGACAGTCCTGAAAAACTTCAATTATCTATTGATGCGGCCAACAACTTTGCGTTTTTCTTGAACTGGTTCTTAGGGTGCGATTCCAGGTTTCATGGAGGTTGAGCTCAGGAACGGACATGTCGGGGCCAGTCTGCAAGATCGCTGTTACCAAACTGATTGTGATGAGATATAAATGGAGAGAAATCAAGCCGAACAAGTTCACCATACATGCTTGATAGGGAAATACAATCCTGATCGACTGCGAGTGGTTCCATCCGAGGTCGATAACACTTTATCTTATCGAGAGGAAAGGGACTCGCCCGCAAGTGATCTGTGTTCTATTTCGCTACCATACGGATCAGGGCATACCTCAAGCTGCTTATCTCGGCCTACATAATCCTCAACACGTAGCAGTCATCCTGGCCTGCGTTTTTCACTTTGGATTCGATACCCTGGCTGAGCAGTCCCGGTCTTATCCATCGAGTCGCCAAAGCTGTTGACATTTTGGCCTGGCTGGTGAAACACTTCTTATAACACGGCTTGGATTTCGGTTTGATTTGCTTTTTCTTTCCATCCATAGTTTCTTTCCTTCGTGGTCGATTGGTTTCTTGATCAGATGTCTCGCACCGGCGCTTTATTCATTCTTTTTACGCTCACTCAATACGTCGTGGAAGTGATCGATGCATCGCCAACAACAAATAGTCAATCAAACCATGTGAGCCTAGATTTAACATTCTTGATATGCATCCAGACCTTTTTAAGTTTTAATTCGGCTCACGTGTTATAACCCTGAAAATAAAAATAAAATTTTGTGATAGCGCGTCAACGTCACTTTTGAAGAGGATCCAAAATCGCTATGCGAACCTCGGCCACTGGAACCACCACTTTGGTCAGAGATGGATATGACTTTTTACTTGTATAATTACCCAAACGGAACCGAATTAAACTTGGAGGTCAGATATTCTCATCAGTTCATATCCACAAAGCAGAGTCAAAAACAAGTCCATCTAGAGGGGTCTAATTACTGATAAGATACATGTGACTGTAGCAATATGCAGCGCAAGTTGGCGCGGTGGATTTTCGATGTGGGATAGGCAAAATATGCAATGCAGGCCAAGTGCGCCAAAATTTTTGAATTCGAGGACTGTGTGATGTTTGTGATCAGTGAAAATGAGTCACTGAAAATATCGTAAATCTAGCTGTGCGAAACTGTCTTTGGTCGAGATTGGTATGCGTTGGTGGCAGCACAAAATTGGAATAATTTTGTTAACGTCCTTTATCAAGCCACTGGGGATGCGTGAGTCTAGAATTCAACATAATAGTTGTCTAACTTGTGGCACTTTTCCCTGAAAAATTTGGATAATTGATCAACAGTTGCTAATGTCTGCTTCATCAGTTTTGACACAACTGCAGGTACATTCAGTGGTCTTGATCAGGACCTTCAATCATCAGTCAGACTGAATATCTTGTTATGTTGTTTACGCTTTTTTTCGATGTGGGCTCAGACATACTCCCGACCATGGTTAGTCTTCCCAATCCTAGGGTCAGATTAGCTACTAATTATTTGTTTTGAATTTCTTCTCAAGTTGGTTGATCTCGAAAAGGATCCCACAAGAACCCCCAGACATGTGGTTGGTACGATTTCTGCTTCATCTAGTGTGAAACTTTAGACTGACCCTGAATCTTTTTGGATCACAGACTGCTTGGTTGTCACTTGCTTCTAATTGGATCAGCTCTTTTCCGTCGTCCCTATTCAAATCATACGGGCCTATTGCAGGTACGATATGGTCTTGGGGACAACTTTCGTGGTTAGGATTAGTGATGACTTTGTATCAGCTGGGAGCCTTTGGGTGGGTGGAAACTTTGATGATTTATGGGAATGGAGAAGATCGCTTTACCCGAGTAAGTCAGCCTCCTCATGTAGAACCTAGTAACCTGTTTTAAAACTTGGAATAATCTGCCTCATCTTCTTTTTCAAATCTTTGGGTGGTCTGAAAGTCCTCCTCCATATCATGGGTTTTAGGACAAGCTCAACATGCGGTCCAAGGGATACTTGCTAATATCACCCACGACGTCATTCAAGCTGGAATTAGTACAGGAAAAGGTCTTGTCAGCTTGAATCAAGATGGAATATTCCTTTCAGAGATCCCAGTGGTTGATCGACAAACCGTTCAAAAGGAATACGAAAGAATGTTAAAGTTGAAAACTTTGGTCAAGGTTTGGAGAGAACAAGTTAGCCAACATTTGCATGTTTTATCTTCCATGAATTTATCAGAATTTTAAAGCGGATGATTTTTTTTTCTCATCATCTGGTCAAATGATGCATAGAATGTATTTGTTATCCGAGGTGCCGTAAGTTCAGAATTTTTCATTTTAAGATTATGATAACTACTTCTAGTTGACTTGAAATTTCAACTCTAGGATCCTTGCACTCAAGAAGGCCCTGATGGCGCATTCAATGATCCGAACAGACTTTCGTATTGCGGAAAAGACTCAATGTGCGTGCAGTTCCTGTGAAAATGAGAAACATAACCCTCTACAAAGCGCATTCGGACTAATTTTATGACACTGGGCAAAGTATGATGAGTATTGTTCGAGGTGATAGAAATGGGGATGGGTTTGATCCCACGATTTTCCGGGCTCCTCTAGTAGAAGCTAAGTACGGATTCACAACAGAGTATCTTACCACTTCATCTTGGGAATGCCAGAAGAAGTATGGTGCTTTTGAATTTGATCCCCATGTTTGCAGGTTTGTCAAACAATTTCTTTTCCCCAATCAAGTTTCTTTCTATTGCTTGGCAATGGCAGTTTGAAGTAGATGATTTTTTTTTGGCTTTTCTATCATGATGCTCTTCATTATAATCATAGGAATATGACCAGTATTCACAACCTGCAGATGCAAGATGAATGCTCTGTCAATCTACCAGTGTGTGATTGCACCAGGTCAGGTAAGCAGATAAACATTTTTTGACTCATAATCTGAAGGATAAGATTTGTTTCTCCTCAAGTTCCTTAAAAGGCGAAACTATCCTATAAAGCTGTTTTTGATAGCTGAAAAAAACTGATTTTCTGCCACTTAATTTGACTTTCTAGATACCCAGGCCGCTCTGCGACAAGGCACCTCCATTACAAAAGCGTGTCGAGAGGTAAATGGATTACCTATCTGAGTTGGTCATAAGAATCAAAAGCCTACCAAAATCCCATCTTGGAAAACATCAAATCACGACATGAATACCCCACATATAGATAATCACACTTGTAATTTCAAGCTATGCAACCATTTGAGCTGAATAGATGTCCAATTTGACCCCTTCAGGTTGTGCCAGGAAGCAAATTTTAACTATTCTTCTGACCTGGTACATTTTACGGCTATCATTACTGTTGAGGAATTCCTTGGACTTCAATAAATTTTTTCATTTCATCCTTCAGCTCTGTGGCATTCTTCAGTTTGTATTAATGTTTAAAAGTTTATCAAATTTCCACAAGTTATATTTTCACCTAGCTGTCCCTTGTCTTTTCTATGATCATGATGATATCCAAATAAATTCAACCTGAGTTGATATATTTCACTCTTACATAAATCGAGAAATACAAAAAGGGTACTTCGTTACCTGTCATCTGTGAGCATTAATAGTTTGTTTTGATGCATGTTTATGTTAAAATAAAGGCTGCAACTTGCAAGTCACGTCTCAAGTCCGACGAATCCGCAGCCGGGCTCGAGATACCACAAGGGCGGGGCGGAGATGATGCTTATGTCAGAGTTGAGGGGATGCTTATGTCAGAAGTTGAACTGGGCCTGGCTGTGATTGACTTTGCACTTTCCAGGACACCGACGAAGCAAGACCGGTCAACTGCTTCGAACGACTCGAGTCTCACAAGAAGGCGTACCACTACGAATTAACACATGTCTTCGGAACCAGAGGACCAGGGTGTGATCGAGTATGGCTCAGAAGTCCTGAGGCCTTGCGGCGATAGTGAATCGAATCAAGCCGAGGCACAGGGCGCTCAATCTGCCTCATCTAGAGCGGGACCTTCCTCAAACTACTCACCACCGATCGGCCCCGAGGATGAGGAAGATCAGGAGGAAGGACAAGATGTTGGCTTGCCTGGTGGTTCTGCAGGCCCTTCAACTAAGAAGAAGAAGAAGAAATCTAAGGGGAAGGCTTTATCAAAGAATCCGTCGGAGGTCCCGGCTGATGATGGATCTCTTGTTGAAGACCACACTACCTCTGAAGCGCACAAGATGATCATCGAACAAGTTAGTACTTTGAATTTGCATTCTGTGCGTTTTTTTTTTGAAATCAGAAGTGTTGATGAGCCATGTGCTCTTCTTCTTTTTCAAATTCAGATCCGAGCTCAAAATGGTGATGAGGTTGCCGATCGAATCAGTGCTCTCGGCCCAAAAGAATTAGGGAAGATGATGGACCAAATCCGGCTCTTAGAGATGATGGATGGCAAGAGTGGAGGCACTCACAAAAATAAGAAAGATATGGCCGATCACAAGTTTTGGGCAACTCAACCTGTCAGGCGTCTGGACGAGCGTACGTCCTTCTCTCCTCCACATCGACAAAAAGAAACCAGGACTTCATCCTGACTTACCGATGAGAAATTCACTCAGAGGATTCAAGTTTCGAGGAAGGTGAAATCGAACCTAGCAAATCGGAAGAAGAAATTCGAAAGAGTCCTTTGGCCCTACCTGATGGATATGAGTGGTGCACTCTTGATTTGGGCGATGAGTCACAAGTAAGTCATTTACAAATTCATTCACTATTTCGTATCATCTCGCCAACTGAAAGATATCTTGGTCTTAGCTGCGGGAGCTTTACGAGCTTTTGACTGTCAATTACGTCGAAGATGACGATGCGATGTTTAGATTTGATTATACAGCGCCTTTTATCGAATGGTTCGTCTTCGTTCTGTCGTATTGTTACCAATGGTCCAATGCCAAACAAAAATCATTGTGCATCAATAGGGCTCTGAGACCCCCCGGCTTTGTGCAAGATTGGCATGCCGGGGTTCGAGTGGCCTCTGGAAAACGACGATTAATAGCATTTATTGCCGGGATTCCGATGAATCTACAAGTCCGATCTACGTAAATATTCTCTCAGATATCCCGCTCTACTCCAGTGTCTTAATCCGCACCCTCTCATGTGAACAAAAATCATCCATTATCAATTCCGTCTTCCTAGTCGCAAGCCTTGTGCGGAAATCAATTTCCTCTGCATTCACAAGAAGCTGCGATCGAAACGTCTAGCTCCCGTCCTCATCAAAGAAATCACTCGACGGTGCAACATGCAGGGCGTCTTCCAAGCCATTTATACCGCTGGAATCTTCCTCCCCACGCCAATTTCCCGTTGCCAGTATGTCTTTTTCTTACAGAAGCGCTCAACAGTCGCTGCAAACTGATGCCTTCGCCTGGCGAATGAATAAGGTATTTCCATCGGAATCTGAACCCGGCCAAACTCATTGCGACTGGCTTTTCTCCTCAGCCTAGAGGAGTATCCGTTGCCCGTCTTAAGCGGATGTATGACTGCCCTGCTCAGCCCCAAATACCCGGCTTTCGAGAAATTGAAGAAAAAGATGTCGATGCTGTAGCTGTCTTGCTCAGGCTCTACATGAGTCGGTTCGACTTGATCCCAGTCATGTCGGATGAAGAAGTTCGCCATAACTTTATCAGTGGTAAGGGGACTGGACCGGTCGTCAACGGCAGAAGAAATCAGCAAGTCACGTGGACATTTGTGGTTGAAGTAAACGATTTTTCTGAAGCTTTGGATTGGCATTCAAATCACTGACTCGGTCAATCGGTTTGTGAATTAAGAATCCGACGACTCATTTGATCACCGATCTGGTCTCGTTTTATCATTTACCATCGACGGCGATGAAATGTACTCCTCACCAAACAATTGATGCCGCATACCTCTTCTACTATGCCACCACTGCCGCTCCATCTTGTGCTCATCTTGGCCAACCAGCCCAGGTCCAAGAAGAACCCAGCCAAGTAGCCGTGACAGAGCCCACCGAACAGCCAAATTGGTCAGCAGAGGCTCCCGAGGCCCGTCAAATTTTGAAGAAACGCTTGATCAGCTTGATAGGTGATGCTCTGACAATGGCGCAACAGGCAAGTTCACTCTCATCTCCATGTACCCAACATTAATTTTCTCGTTCATTTCTAACTGACATTTTGTTTTTCTTTTTACAGGCCAATTTTGATGTATTTAATGCCTTGACGTTAATGGACAACTCCTTATTTGTCAAAGAGTTACAGTTTGGAGCCGGGGATGGATATCTGCACTATTACCTATACAACTGGAAAGGTGGGTGTTGTATAATCAAAGCCTAGGCGATAAGAGGATGCTCCGATTTTGATGTCTTGGATTTTTTTCTTTGTCAGTCCATCAAATTCGTGGTGGGGTGCCGGGTGAACCTGGCTCTGAAGAGGACGCAGCACAAGCAACATCTTCCGGGAAACAATTGATTGAGGCACCCGGAGTTGGCAGTGGGATCGGGGTGGTGATGTTATGAATTCAAAATGCGCGGCTCGGGACGCTTTGGCTCAGGGGTTTCTCATCTGATGTTGTGATATCCCCCCGCCTCTGATGGTTGAAAAATAAAGACAAATAGAACAGTATTCTTGTTTCATGATAGTCTCTTTTTTTTAACAAAAAAAACGGGTGAAATACCTTTATCTCCTTGTGAGATTGATGCTAAATGCATGTGATAGATTGTTAACACTTGGTTAGTTATTCAAGTTTCTTCAAAGGCACAACTAATATATCTCAGAGTTGCTCTTTACAAAAAATGACAATATACATTTATCACTAGGAAAAATTAATACCCTATCACACTGTTGACTTGTCTATTACTAGAAAAAGGACAGGAATCAAATCTCTAACTCTCAGCCCATTGCAAATGTTAAAGACAGAGAAGATGGTCGGATAGGCAAATGCTCAAGCGATGACTAGAGAGGTGGTTTGGTCCAAGTTGAAAAAAAAAAAATCGCACCCTTTGAAAAAAAAAATCCAAACATGTATTGATTTAGCATGTGGCTCTACAGGTTCAACCTGAAATAGAGGGAGTCTCAAAGTTCTTGGCTGAAAGGCATCACTTTTGGAGGCTACATAGTAATTAAATAGGAGGGTGTGAATGCAGCAGCAGCTCATTGGGCCCCGCGTGCAGTTTGGCAGCATCCCCCACATTTCAAATTGAGATTCGCTCCCAAAATAATCAGACCAGCTCGCAGTACTGTGGTATCATGTTCGACCTCCTTCGTGGTCCGTCTTGGCTGGATCGATCGACTGTCACCTTGATACTTGTCTGTTCTGTTCTCACAATCGGGATGCTTCAGTTCCGCAAGAACCGTTTCAACCCGAAAGGTCAGGTAAGTCTAAACCATCGGTCAGAACATCGTCACCTCTCATTAATCAGCCAGGTCTATTTGTTCGACCGTAACTCAAACATATAGCATTGTTATATCGGTGGAGGTTCGCAAGGACTTGGTCTTGCACTCGGATGTCTACTTGCCGCTCGGGGAGCCCACGTTACGATTGTTTCTCGGAATCAAAAAAAGCTGGACGAGGCACTGGAGAAGATTGAAGTATGTGATGCTCTTAAAATTCGACTGGCTAGGAACAACAAAAGATAGCCCGTTTTTTGTTCATACGATTTCATTCGGATAGACTTTTCGCACATCACCGTCCCAAAAATTCGCAAGTTTGGCCTATGATCTCTCGAGCGTCGACGGGGCGGAGAAAGCGATGGATGCGGCTGCCGAACCGTTTGGCGGGAAGGTGCCAGACCACGTGTTTAGTTGCACCGGAGGGGCAGCCGGGATCCTTGGATATTTTATTGAACTGACACCGGATCAGCTCAAACAAAGCGTCGATGTAAATTATTGGACGGCAGTATGGACAGCACGAGTTGAGTCATTGGATTCCAGTATATGAAGTTCACAAATCGAAGCCGATCGCATTCTCATGTTATATCTCTTGTATGCAGGCAGCAGCTCGGCGGATGGCTAAGCAGGGTGTTCGTGGATCGATTGTATTAACATCATCAGTGCTTGGATTCTTTGCTGTGCCCGGCTATTCCGCATACACGGCTGTCAAACATGCCATCAGGGGACTTGCCGAATCGCTGAGGATCGAATTTCTACTCTACAATATCAACGTCCATTGTTACTTCCCTGCGACGATTTATTCACCGGGCTTCGAGGAAGAACAGAAGTCGAAGCCGGAACTGACAAAGATCATCGAAGGTGCAGACGAGGGCTTGACCCCTGAACAATGCGCACTCCGATTGGTCAGAGGTAAGTGCAATCTTCTCTCCCCTCGATTTTGCAACGTTGCTGGCATGAATTCATTTCATATTGACATGACTCTGTTTGTAGGCATCGAGAAAGGACACGTGATGATCACCTCAGATCCAATAGGCCACCTTTTCAGAAATAGCATGCGAGGAATGTCGCCAGTCTCGAACTACATTCTGGATCCAATCTTCGCCGCTGTTGCACCCGTCAGTTCACCTTTTTCTTTTATCTCCCTTTCAAAACCTGTACTGACTGAGAAGGATGAGGAATTAGATTGCGATCCCGATCTGGAGGAAAATCACAGAATACCAGATCAGGTCTCATATACCTCAACACAAGAAAGAAGTCATCGATCGATTGGATAGTTAGAGTTTTTCTCAATTTAAGTTATTGAAAGCTGTTTCTGGGACGATAGTTATGCTGCAACAAATGTAAACAAAATCGTAGTGAACATCAATCGTTTGGTCGTCATCCGCAAGAATCTTGAAAATAGTAATCATAAAATTGGCTTTCATTCATTCACCCACAACCCTGGGATATTCGAGCTCTCCGCAAGTCGGCAGAATTCTTGTATTACGCCCGAGGCGGCTCCCGAAAGACATGCCCGAACATCTCGTCCCAAGGTCTGGTGCGACAGCAAGATCAAACGGGTGGGAGCAACATCCTCCAACTCATTACTCAGTTCCCTCAGCTTTCGGAAATTTGCCCAAGTGGCAAATTGATAATCCAGAATTTAAGCTTAGACATGACATTGGTCTCATCTTCACAGGGCTGGTAACCCATTGATTGTAACATTGGAAATGTTTAATGTGGTGAGCCCTCCTCTAAGATTATTGACAGCTGAGACACCAAAATACTATTCATCTCAATTGAATCTTAGTACTCTCTGAGAATGTGTCAACCAAGTCCCATCTTGGAGAAAGTGAGTTCAAAAATCAGAAATGGAGAACTATGATTTGATTTTGATACAGAAATGCTAATTCTCAACCAAGAAGCCAACACCTGGTTCAACTTGAGTTTTGAGAGAAGAAACTTCATCCTTTGGTTTTCTTGTGGGCAGAAAAAGGAATCAATTTCTTCCAAGGTTCAACTCTGATCTGTGTGCATCTTCTAGATATCATCTATGTGTTTGGGATTTAAATGCTCCATGGCTTGCATCAATGTGTGTTTATAAGAATGTTCTCAAGTAAATGAGTATTTTTAAACCTGTGGAGCTTTAGTTTCAGCACTGGCTCACTACACAGTACTTTTTGTATTTGACAGGTTACAAGGAGAAATCCAAGATTTGGGGATGTCTCATGCTCTCACTTGTTTTATGTGTGGTGAGTAATAGTAGAGAAAACAGAATGGGTTGGAATCATTTGAGGCCAAGGTGTTCCTCTCAAACCAAAAAATACATGATCCAATTCCCTCAATTGCTAAAAATTCAAATACATAATCCACTTCCCTCAATTGCTAGGACAGGGTACATCGTGTGTGATGATTATCAATTGGATACTGTATGGAAGTGGGGTCAAATTTCTCCCTTTCCCAATTTTCCTCTTTGTTGCACTAGTTACTTGAGATTTCCAGCACCTCATCTTTCATGGCAGAAGTGCAAAGCACAAACCTTTTTTTGATGAAGTTTGGTGGATTGGTTTGGAATTGGTCTCAATTTTTTTTTTCCCAAAGTAATTAAAATGTGAAAGCTTTTTTTTTGTAAAAATGGGTGAAATATGTCATGATTTTTACATTTATTTGACTTTTTTTTTGGTATGGAGTTTTGATAATGCACCAAAAAAAAAGCAATAAGACTAAAATCAGAATAGGTTGCATGTAATGAAAGCCTAGGAGAATCATGAAAAAAATAACTCTTGAGTAGCATTTGAGTTACAACACAAGTTTCAATTGAGTTCCCACATGTCAACTGCTACCAGTTACATGAGAACTTTTCACAGTGAGCTGGCCTTAAACACAACAACAACAAAAAATTAGAGGTGGAAACAATTGAAGTGTGATCAGTGTCAAGATTGTAGATGTTTTTTATTCTTTGTAATAAAATTTGAAATACCCAACCAAATTCAACAACACATACTTCCTGAGTTTTGTGCACAAAACTGTTTTTGTTTCCACACATGCACACACAAACTCTTTGAGCCCCAGCTTACACCACTTTGCCACCCCCAACAGTAATGTGAAATTATAATATGTGATAATCATCTGGAATGGAGAAAAACAAGCCAAAAAAATCTGGGGATCCTATGTTTCACAATTCCTGTCTACATATTTAATTTGGAATGGCTCTTGTGTGGGATTACTCTCTGCCAAAACCTGAAAAATCGCAAAACTCTGAGTCTCACTGCTCAGACATGAGAATGTCTCCCTTAATTAAGCTACACTTTGACCCAGCCAGGCAATGCGAGTGCTTTGGGTTTCCAGTTACATATCTAGGTCTACACTGGATTTTTATAGCACAAGTTAGTAGCTCAACTCCCCATGATTGGATTCACTGTCTTTTTGGGGGGAAAAGTCCAAAATGGTCCAAGTGATCGGTCGGGGTATCGGGGCTTTCGGGGCCAAGCGATTTTCGCAGAAGACCTACTGACCGATCCTGGCTCCGGGGCTACCCCGGGGACCACGTCGCTTCGCTTTATGTCGTGCTAAGGTTCCTATCCGGCCACCCGGGTTCGGGTATTGCATTCCCGAGACCCGACCCGGCATATCCGGTGCCAAAGTCGGGTCCCGACGGATAATAGATGAAAAGCTGACCTGGGAGCTCAGGGATGAAAGTCGCTCAACCATCAACACATTTCCAGCCAAAAATGCCACAAAAACGCGGCGCTGAAGATCAAGAACCAATCGATGTTGACTCCGGCTCCGACATTGAGTCTGTGAAGGCACCTTTCAAGGCCGAAAGCACCAGAACCAGCAAGAAAAGCTGGGTCTGGCATCCAAGATTATACCCGAAATCGAATGGACGCCGAGACCCTCGAAGGACTTATCTGCCTGAAAGATTGGCTTGCCGAAGACATAATCGATGTCGATGACATCCTGACCACAACCTCTGCTTAGTACAGCCCGTATCAGACTTTACACACTACATGCTTGTTGTCTTCCCTCGCATTGCTGATAGATAAAATTAAGAAGAAAGCGATACATTTATTTTTAGTCTCACGAACACAGAGCAGAGGATTGAAGCAAAAAATGCATCTCCTCCGACCTGATTCTGCCTGATTTTCATACTGGTATCCGATCGGATACCGGGTTTATCTGAACCCCTCCCGAGACCCGACCCGACCGGGTATCCGGTCGGGTATTGCCGGATGCTCGGTGTCCGGATAGGAACCTTATGTCGTGCAGCCCAATTTGTTCCAATTTGGGCGGCAGCGCTCCTAAAGAATGTCGACCTCGAACCTAATCATCAACACAGCAAAAAGACCCAGGATCCTACGATGCTCCATCCTAGGAAAAAGTCACCACTTCAAACCCGTTCGATCTCTCACCACGCTCCTATCCTCGCCCTATCCACTCGACAAACCTGGTCCATCACGCTCAGATTATCATCCGAGCAGGCCGACAATTTTGAAGGTTGGAACGGGACTGGCTGGATGTCTCTTGGTTGGAATTCTCGCCAGGTCCTGACTCGTTTTTTTTTGAAATTGCTTTTAGAATTCCTGGAGGCCGGTACACCAAGATGCTTCCACTACTCCCACACCACACTCTTCTATCCACCCCCAACCTCAAACAAACTCAAGTCCATCCTCTCCTTTTGCAACGTTGATCTCCACACCCAAGCGGTCTTGTGAAGAAGATGATTCTTCAGCCCCATCGATCGTCAAGCCGATCGGAATCAAAATTAGTCCCTCAGCAATTGAGGTGAGTATACGATCTATGAATGGTTCACGATTCACGATTTCATCAAAAAAAAAACCCCCCGTAAAATGGGGATGATTCCAGTCCATCTTGCTCAAGTTAGAATTTCATATTTAAATATTCTCGGTGTGTAGCAGATCGAACGGGCGCGCAAGATGGACAACAAACCAAACGAGGTTCTTCGACTCTCCGTCGAAAGCGGAGGCTGCCATGGATTCCAATACAAGATTGGATTCACCGAATCTGCCGAGGATGATGATTTGTGAGCCCGGTTAAAAAAAATTGAGCCAAGAGTGGAATTGAATTTTAGAATTAATCTCTCTCAAATCCTGCGTTTGACCAACCGATCAGTGTGTTCACCGTTGGAAATCGGAACGGACTGGTGGTCATAGATGAGGGCTCGTTGGGCCTCATGGACGGCTCAACTATCGAATTTGCGACCGAACTCATCGGCAGCAGCTTCAGGATTCTCGATAATCCTCACTCGGCTGGGAAGGGATGCGGGTGCGGAGTGAGCTGGGAACTCAAATGAACCCACATATTTATTTACCACCATTCCATCAATCCAAACATGCATATTCATCTCTTCGCGGTCAAGTCCTTGTATTTTTTTTTTTTCATTCTGCTTTTTTTTTCTTTTTCGGTAAGATCGTTCTTCAAGATGTAAATATTACAGGTAGTTATATTTTGGAAAAAAAAAGTTACCGCGATAGACATGGGATCCCACATTTAGAAAAGCAAAGAAAAAGGCTGGAGTTGTGCCTGAGCAGGATGAATGTTTCCTGAGGAAGTCGGTATATATACAGCTATGTAGTGCGATCCTTGGTGTAGTGCAACTCCATGAACTCAGAAGATGGGGATGATTAAAATAAACAAGACAACAGAGGTTCCAAGCGAGGCTAATACATAAGACGAAGAGATGATACATACTCTGCCAAGTTAGCCTCGGCCTTTCGAACGTTCGAGGATGATGATCTTCTTGCAGACAACGCTTTGTTTGTACTTGTAGGGACGGTCACTCGAAAGAATACTGTTTACTTTACCGTGCCCCGATTTCTACATAGCAGAGAGAAGATATGTACCGGTTGCACATGTGGATTGTTGATTCTTGGGTGTGTTCGAGAGTTGGCGGCAATGTGGACGCGCGTACGGGAAACGCGGGAAGCAAAAGCCACGTATGAAAGTAATTAGGGCATCATGAGTTGGATTTTTCGATTTCAACAGGTGTTGGTCGGTCTCATAAAATCTCTGGTGTGGTTTGTATAACTGTGCTTGTCTTCGATCTGGTTGGTGACTGGATTCCTGGAAAGCCCATGATCTTGACTCTTGAGAAGCGCCCTCCGGCATGTTTGAGAGTGAAGGTAGAAGTGCTGAGATAGATAGTGACTGTGGAGGGCATCCGCGAAGACCCTCGCCATCTTGATCAAATATAACACGTGAAGCATTAGCACAGACATTTTGTTCTTGATCGATGACGACATAAGTATTAAGATACAGTGTAAGCATTAGAAGGAAGACTTAGACAGTGGCAGACACTGAAGAGAAATATAAGCCTTTCATCATGAGCAAAGTCTTGAAGATCCTGGGCGATGGAGAAAATGGGCGACTTGACTATTTATTTAACATCAACGGGCGACTAAATAGAACAAACACATTCTAGCTTTCCTGTTTGCCTTCCCATTGCGGTCAATCGGTTCTCAGATCCCAGTCGAGCAAGCTCTGCACAACACGCCGGCCGGGCGATGGTTTTACTTCTTTCACAAATCCTCGAATATGGGCTTCCTTGACTCTACAGTTCTCCTTCTCTTTTTTTTTCACAGGAGTGGCCGCGATGTCGAAGGGCATGAGGACATGCTTTGAAAGACACCCTCCACCCACCTGGGCCAGCTTGCCGAGCTGTGGAACTACGTTTAAGATGAACCGAAGAGTGATCTCGACTGCCGGGATCCCAAGAAAGAACCCTCGACTGCACAGGAAGCCACTTCAGTTCACGATGCTCATCAACCCTTGCTCACTTCAGTTTGATCCCCCTCCAACTGGATCCGTAATAGAATCAAAACACTGTTTGTTGTTCCATCGATCGCCAGCTATGTGGCACTCCTTCGGGTCCGCCTTCCATCCCGCTTCAGTGTCAGAGTCAGAGTCAACACTCCAAGACGAGCGGCCCGGACAAACTGCCCCTGCTGATGAGCGAGCACCTGGCCACTGAACTCACACACCAGCCCCAAAGTGGCCCATCTATAAAAGCCCTCCAAAGCTTTCGATATCCTACCAGGACTATCACTGTCTCAAACAGACTCATCCCTCCAGCCATCCAAACTCACCCCCCATCCGCTTTCGATCAAAAAAAAACATACTGACAGCAACGATTGCCAAACAATCCTTTGCTCCTTCCGCTTCGTCTGATCCTTTTCAGCCTAGAAGCCGCCCGTCAAGCTGTCTGACCCGGCCATTGCCAGGAAAAAAAAAAACTTCACTAGAGTTATCTGAACCACAGAGTGCTTGGCTAATTGGCTCGAAATTTCGCCCAAAGCCTTGTTTGATTTTCGCTTGTTTGGCTCACTGGGGAAGGGGCAAGTGTGGACGGATTGGATTTTTTTCATCAGCATCCTATCAACCACTCAAGAGGCTTCTCGAATCGGATCGAAATGTCTCTGGCTGGCTTGTCGATTTTCTTCCTCATTTCACTCTATTATTCTTCCGTCCCCATCACCATCTCCGCCTCGCCCCTCAACCGTCCCCATCCCCATCCCCAGCAGGCACTGGCAGGCTCGGCGCATCCTCACGAATACATCTTGAAGCCCAGCTTCCACATCCTGGCTGCCCCAACAACGCGGACCTTCAATCTCACCGTAACTCAAACTACCGCCGCCTTGGATGGATTCCTCAGGCCCGTTCTTGCCATTAATGGCCAGATACCTGGCCCACTGATAGAGGTCAGTTATAAGGGTCTTTGTTTCCAAAAAAAAAGGGTTTGTGAGACTCATGTTCTGAGGTTCTCGTACTTGACCCCCCTGGCGCGTGGTTTGGCTTCAGGCAAATGAAGGTGATCGATTGGAGATCACAGTTAAGAACCTGATGGACACTCCATTGACCATGCATTGGCATGGTCTCTATCAGGCTAGTCAAAATATCTTCTCTCCTGCTCTGCTCGAGGTTCTTTCAAACATGATCAATGAACCAGGGCTAACCAAAGCTCTTTATTGGCCTCCATCATTCCCGAAAATTTACTAACAGAATGGAACCAAGTTGAGTCGCCATTTTGTTTTCTCGGTTTACCTCCGTGAACGAAGTAGAAAAGAAAGAATTGATATGTTTTAGACATCAGTTGGGAAGATGGTGTAACAGGTGATTTCTGTCTTCTTTTTTTTTGGACCAAAATAAAAAAAAAGCTCTGCTCTTCCACTGTCAAGAGTTTAGTTTTTAGTAACATTCTCTGTCTGGTTCTGTTAGGCGTGACTCAATGTCCGATTCCCTCTAACGGCGGAGTTTACACTTACAAATTCAAGTTGGATGGCCAGTTAAGTTCTAGTCCCTCTGCTTGTCCTCCACTGGAAATAACACAATCGTCACAAAAAATATGGAGACCTGATGCGACACCTCAAAGGTTCCCTTTGACTGATCGTGCGTTCATTACTTTTGATATAGATTCGGAACGTTTTGTGAGTCTCGTCGTGTCAGCTTTTGGTTACATTTGTCTTGAGTGACAAAGGTTCCCTTACGCGGTTTGGTGAGACTGACCGTAGAACATCAATTTTGTTTATTGGATATATTATTATCATTCTTACTATGCGAAAAAAAAAAAAAAAAAAAAAACATGATACGGTGACCAATAGGGTATCAGTACGTTTTGAGGCACTTGAATTGCATATACTCTTTCCCGCTCGGTTTACCCTTTGTACTTACGGATGTCTTTGCAGTTCACATCACCAAAACTTGATGGCGGATGGCATAAATGGACCAATGATTATCCATTCGCCACGCGATCCACTCAAAAGATCAGTCGATTTCGATCATGATGTGGTGCTAATGCTGACGGACTGGTATCACAAGTTGCGTCTTCCTACTCTAGCCCCCTTTTTTTTTCTCTCGAAACGAACACTGGATGATGAGATAAATCTGAATTCCAAAACAAAATCCTTCCATGATCAGCACTTCGAGTGATATCGTTCACGAGTTGCTTAGCGAAGCAGGCCACATCGGCACTCCAGCTGCTCCCGGCGCAAACTCTGCACTGATCAACGGAGTCGGCGAATGGAATTGCTCCCTAGCCACTACTTCTCAACAATGCAAACAAGTCTCATCTCCTCCCGAATTCACAGTCACAGCCGGCCAAAGGATCAGGTTCCGCCTGATCAACTCAGGCGTTCATGCTATGTTTTTCTATTCAGTCGATGAACATATGTTGAACATAACAGAGGCTGATAGCACGCCAATATATGGACGTGCGTTCCCCCCTCTTCTTGTCGTGAAACCTTGCCCTGACTGATTGGTTTTCGTTTTTCTTAGCTTCTGACTTTCGGCATATTTGGCTTCACAATGGACAACGATATTCAGTGATAGTCCAAACGAAGAAAGAAGATGCTGGTAGGAGCTTCCACATGAGAGCTACAATGGACTCGGACTGCTGGGCCTGGTAAGTCTAGAGTTTGCTTGTGGAGCCCTTTTGCAGAATGATATGGCGAAAGCTGGCCACTTCTAATTTCCCAATTCCTTCATGTTCATAGGATACCGAACGACATTCAAGACACTGCTTTTGGAATTCTCAGAGTAGTGAATGAGGATACTAAACCTGAGAAGATTTCCAAAGCTCGACCAAAGACGCGTGGATGGCCGCAGGAATTCCCCGAAGAATGCCTTGACATCGATCCCAGAATGATGGTTCCAATCGTGAAGCGCAGTGTCCCAACTTCGGTAGTCGGTTCGGGGCGCTTTGAGGCCGGCTTTGGGTTTCAATTCATCAACAATCCTCAGGAACACCTCACACGGAACGACGCAGTGAAGATCGCCAAAGCATTGAATCTTGACTGGACCCGAGACCGGAACCTTCGAGAGAAAAAGAAATTCCTGTCCGAAAGCCATCGAACCAGCTCCCGCTGGGGCGGAAATGATGTCGACAGCAGCGAAGATACCCATGACAGTCAGCAAGAATCACATTCACTCAATGCTGACTCGAGGAAAAGGCAACTCAACATCCGTCGCCAAAGTCCGCCGCCCTTTGGAGGTAGAAAAAATTCCACAGGGGTTACCAGGCTGGCGGGACCCCCTCCAACCCCGGCAGGGACGATCGGCAAATATTTCATGAATAATATCTCTTGGGCCAGTGAGTTCCATATTCCTGTAACCGTACCAATCACTCGCGTGATTTTTTTTTTGGTAGAGATTCCTCACTGATCTTGTTTCTATCTAGCGTACCCGTATCAACCTGTTCTCCATGATTTAACACCCGGCGGTGTTGGTGCTATCAACAGTTCAAGAGTAGCCAACGTCATTGTGAGTTCACCTAATGGGTAGTACATACATATCAAGCGTGACGTATTCGCTAATTTATCGATTCGACTCTAGTTTCCAACGGCGGAATGGTATGATTTATATTTGATAAATGTAGATGCGACTGGAAGTCACCCGTACCATTTGGTACTATTTTTTTCTCCTTATTATTTCCCTTACATAGCTGCAATTGTTAAAAACTCCGAGCTGACTCGAGTCTTTCTCCTTGAAACATAATCAGCACGCGATGGATATGCACATTGTCGCCTTTGGGAGAGGATTTCCGAGCCCAGAAAGACTTTCGCAAATCCAGTATAATACTGAGAATCCGCTTCGGAGGTCAGTATCCATTTGATCCTTTGCACTCTTCGCATCTCATTGTCATTTGTCGCCTCAACATTTTCCCTCGGGGGGCGAGTAGTTCCGCTAACTGATCACAAGTTTTTATGTTTTCGGCATATCAGAGATACTGTTGTTGTACCTCCGGCCTCATTCGTCGTGATTCGACTCCATGCTGATATTCCCGGCGCTTGGATCATGGTACGTAAGAGCAGTGATTCTCGTGTATCTCAAACAGCTGCTAATCTTCACGGCTCCTTTTCTTGATACTCAGCATTGTCACATTGGCTGGCACATGTAAGTGCGAGAATCTATCAACCCCTTCACAAAAGTCTTCGAGACTGATGTCCAACTGAACATCTTACTTTTACGCCTGTGCCAAATCATCATCTAACGCGGTTCAATAGAGCTGGCGGTGCGTATCAAATCTCTCAAGATAGTTCTCAAGATAGTTTTTTTTTTTTCCAGAATGACTCACTCAGACTGCCTTTATCTATCCCTCCAGGGTTTGCCGGAGTAGTGGTGGTCCAGCCAGAAGCGATCAGTCGGTTCGTCATTCCGGACGAGAACCTGGCGCTCTGTGATGCTCGGACAGAACCGGTGGATACCATCGAACCTGGTGCCTAAATAAAAAGTGTTTAGGCTCAAAAAAAAATAAAAAATAAAAAAATAAAAACTCTTGACGCGCCTCACCAATGTGAATCTTGCGGTATATCACATCTTGTACACTTCATAGAAAAGAAACCTGCTTCTCTCTCTCTCTCTCTTCCTTAGATTAACAGAATCCATCTACAGCAGTTTTGTACCGATAATCTACTACATGCATAGCAGACATTCTATCCGTGAACTATATAACTGTATCATCTAATTTCAGTCTGCGACTTGCAGTGAAGATGTCTTCCTGTTTTCCTTGATTTTAAAATTCATGCCAAGATTACAATATGAACTGGTGGTTCTGCCGAAGATCTTTTTGCCTTGAAAAAATAAAAATAGAAAAATCTGGTAAAGGGCACGCCAGGCACGCCACAGCAATCTTCACTTTCGGGGCCCGAGTCCTCAATCCACGGTACATACAGGATCGGGGAGTGAGAGGACCCCGGAAACCCCCTACAAATGTGGGTGACGAAAAATCCAATATTTTCCAAAATTTCATACATTTTTGGAACCCATTCATACACGTTTCGTGCATATGCTCAGGGGATTTCCAATTTTTTCATACATACATTCTTTGTGCCTACCATTTTTTTTTCTCGCCTGAGAGGCTCAAAGCCGATTTTTTCCAGCAAGCCATTCTCGATAACTATAGGGGCGCCAATCTGTGTTGGTGCACACTACAACACACAGCAAAACAGCAAAAAAAGAATCGAATTGTTGTAGAATAGATAAGTACATATAAGTAGAAGTTTGATTGGTGAGGGGGGAGGCTGGGGGAGGGGGAGGGGCAAAGATTCAGGCAAAGTTGTGCTCCCGAGGCAAACTTATCACAAGTCTCCAGCTGCGGCGGGCGCATCTGGCAGCGTAGCACTGGCCAGGCGGTTCCCGAAGGGAACTCCCCGCAGGGGAGACTTGGGCCAGAGGTCACCAAACTCAGGTGCTGAGTTTCGACTGTTTTGGTGGGAGCGTCACAAGATTTGAAATCCTGATGCTCCCTCAAAACTTTCTTGATGTTTGACTGGATTTTTGTGAAGTCTTGCATTATCACTTCAATACAGCCAAGAAATGAAACTGGTGCAAGACCAGTTGATTTTCTAATGATTTTATTAAAATCAATGTTTGGACTTTTTTTCTGCTCACATAAGCCATTCGATCAACTCGCGCACACCAAAACCAGCTAGCTAGTGGTGAAAGTTACCCTTTTCAACACTAGCTATACAAAAACTGAGAACCTGAAAAGAAAAAGCAAGCAACAGAACAACTGTACAAGATTCAGGCCTTCATGGCCTGGGAAGGAAATGCTGTGGATGTTGATGTGAGGACAGCTAGAAAAGGATTAAGACAAAAATCAATGTTTTCAGCCCAATTTTGAAAACTCAGCACGCGGGCCTTGTCACATTTGTCATAGGCCTCCACTGGCGTGGACAGCTCCGCTGCTCGCTCCCGCTCCCGCCGTGGAGGCCTAGTTAGGCTCGCTCCCGAGGGGGGTGTGTGCAAAAAATTACCATCTGTGCACACCCAGGACTGGAGGACTTCCCGTCGGATCTGGGACCCTCGCAGAAGTCGATCTAGACCCAAAAACTCTTAATTCTCGCAGAGGAATTTGAATTTTGCGGCTCTAAACCGACTCTGGGAGACCCGCAGATGTTGACGGGAAGTCCTCCACTGACTTTCATACATTTGTTGTTACCACCCTCCTTCCCCCAAAAAATTTTTCAGAGGTGAGTATGATTACTTCCAAAAAAGGTCATTCATACATATTTTGTGAGTAACATTTTGGTTATTTCCAAAAAAATTCATACATTTTCGTCACCCACATTTATAGGGGGTTTCCGGGGTCCTGGAGTGAGTTGTTCAAGTCAGCACTGCATACAGCCCACGTAGGTTTGTACAGACTGGAAGCTCTGAACCAATACATACGATCGAGCAAGAACTCCATGGACACGATGTCGAACCGAGACAATGAGGGTGTCGACACCCCCGATGGTGATCTACCACCAGCGGTTAAGCAACAAGGTGGTATGTTTGATCCAGCTTTTCTTCAAGTTTGCCAATCCGTGCTTTTAAGAACACTAGATAACCAGCCCAAAAAAAACCTCTGCAGATTTGGTCATCGACAAGTTCAACAGTCTTTTCGGTAGATGTGATCCACTGAACGAAGAGCATCGGCGTAATGGTCCCATGCCTATCGAAAATAACGCCTTCATCAACCAGCTGAAATCTGGGCCCCTATCGATCGAGGATAATGCATTCCTCAACCGACTGAAATCGACCTCCGATCGGTTGGACTCCAACCTATTACCTCTACTAGGAGACCAACTCATCGCCATCTCACTATCACTCAAACCATCCGAGTTGCAGAAAGAACCATGCTCAACACTCAAGCGGATCTTGGAGATGCAGGAAGAACTCGAACAGACTCTGTGTCAAATCAGATCGGCGCTTGATTTGCTTCCAGAACAAGAAGTCGTCCCCAATCAAACCAATGACCAACACCATCAAGAGTTCAAGAATTATAGAGTCAATGGACTTGATCAATGCATCAGGGACGAAGTCCTCATGGAGATCTCGGGTTTTTTTTCTTCATCGATCATGCTTGTTCGCCAACTAGGTTTCTCAACAGAGCCTAGGATAAACCAGATGGTTCCAGCTGGAATGGATGTAGTCCACACAAGATATCGGTCCGAAGCTTCACTGAGATCGGCCAAGATCTGGTTAAGAGGATCTGAATGGGAGACCGTCTTGGTCGGTTGGCGACTTGCGATGGATGTGATGGATAGCGTATTAGAGAACAGCATCCGGCATATCAGCTTGATACCCCCCAACCATGACCTCAACGATCGCCCGCCCTTCGAACCGCTTGGCGAACAAAACCTTGAAGTCGCCGAATCATTGATCCCGATCGTCAAACTCTCGAGGATCTTCTTGGCTCGACTATCCAAACTCGAAATGAAGCACAAGACCCTTCCGCATTATACGGAGATGTGCACCCACCAACTCCAGAGTCTACACGATCTGCCGTTGAGTGTTATTGCTAAACTCAGCTGTCTCCAGTCGATGTCGATCAGGAATGATATGTTCGATGAAGCTTCGACCATCCGTTTTAATGATATGGTCCGACGACTTCTGGCTCTCTTTCAATCCTCTTTGCTCGATGTTGTTCTTTGTGTTGTCCCTCTACTTCCAGACCTCAACGGCTTTCCACATCAGACTTACCTCAAAACTTGGTTTGTTACTTGGAACACTCAGTTCATTATTGCTACTCAAAACCTCACCCGTCTTACTTTCTCCTTTCTCAATAATCCTTTATAGCTTCTTTTTGTCTTCTTCTCTCTCTCTTTTTTTTTCTTCTTCTCTCCTTCCATTTGATTGGTTTGCACCGTCAGAAAGAAACCTTAACCTGACGGTTATATGTGTTTCTAAGTTGATCAAGCTTTCTAGTTTTCATGTATCTATACAGACAATGGACATTCGCCAACTTTTTGATTGGATCAGGGTTAATGGATTGGACAGGACCTATTCAGGCAGAGGTGGTCACATTTCCCAGATCTTTGCAGACATTCAACCTCCAGCGTTTTTTTTTTCATATCTTGGCTTGTCCTCTGGTGATAGTTTGCCGGAATTTCTCATCAAAGAAAAATGTAAAATCTTTGGAGAAAGTTGGATCAATTTTTTTAAACTTACACTCCAAGCATTATTAAATGAACCTAAATTATAATAAGAATCCTTTTTTTTCGGATCGTGACTGCGGTTTATTCTTTGCTTTCTTCTTTTCATTGAACTCTTTTAGAAATCCATGAAAAGATTATCTGCGGGGGGGGCAATCATAGTCTGCAGTTAAATGTTATAAGGATGAAAGCTCCTAACTTCCCAAGTGGCTTCCTTTGTCGGAGGACAAGACTGAAGGCCTGGGGACCGAGTCATAAGCGACTCTCGGCGGCCGTCGGGCATGTTTGAGCGACCGCTTATCCTTGTCAACACTGCCCCCGCAAAATGCTTCCCAGATGGCCTGCGGGATGGTGATCCTCTGGATTTAGGCCGGGACTTGCAGCAGCCTGGGTCGGAGATGCGCTCAGCGTGATGCGGCCCGGAAACAGGAGAGGCGTGAATCGAAAAAAAAAGAGATGCTGCAGTCAGCTCGCGGCATGGGTGGTTTCACAATACCTTATCGACAGTGCAGAGTGTTGGTCGCTCCGCTTTCCTTGTACTGTCTCATATTTATTTATCTCTAACTTGATCAACTCAAGAGCATAAATACTCGGCAGAGATCCGTAAAGATTGTACTTGAATCAGTCCGTCAAACAATGAAAGTCACCACCCATCAGGCTCTTGGTTTCCTATTCTTCTTCCGCTGTAATGCAAATATGGATAACTTGGTCACCCATTCGCTGGAGCTGCTTTCAGATGGGCCGCCGGAGACCTCTTCTTCTGGAAGTGAACATTCAATCTCGACCGCCCTGCCCGACCAACGCGCTACTGACAGAGCAAAGATCTTAAGTCATCCTGGTACATCTTCCTCGCCGGCGCGATCCACAGACAATCCGCCAGTCATCGATTTGACTCTCGAAATCCCACATTTAGCAGAGATGAAAGATCGGCTCGGAGAAGCATCGACAAAAGCTCCGGGAATGAATGCGGGATCGAGGAGAAAGATTTCCGGGGATCCTGGTAAGCGGGATGAGAGAACTGAACTTGCAACGACTCAGAATTCACAGCCTTCGGAGTTGCCAGTTCGATTTGATGTCGAAGGACGACCACCGAAGATGATCAAACTGATGGGTGCCTTCATGGGCACTGAGGTTCGCCCGGATCGTATTGATAGTGACGGGACGATCAAGCAATCCGATTCCTCCAATCAGGGCCATCATGTTCCTGATAGCACTGAAGCCTCAAAGACTGCTGACAGAGGCAAACAAATCGCGCAGACATTGATTATCACTGATGCTAGCTCATCAAACCTTGAAAGAATCCCGGCGCGGATTATAACACTCGAATCCACTGGGAGCGCTTTAAAGGACCTGATCATTGATGTCGAGAGGCAGAGTCAGAATACACAGACGAGCAGGACGAAAGACGAGCCACGAAGATTGAAGTTTACGGAAGACGTCTTGGATTTTTCAAACACGCCTGCTGAGTACCAAAGCCATTTCTTGGACGCGTTGGGAGATGTGTTGCTTGACCTGAAAGCCAAAGAACTGGTGATGACGGAAGCGCAATTCATCATCTATCATACCGACTTCTACCGGATCTATCAGCGCTCGGAGCTTGCTCCGCACTCGGACTCGAAAACGAATATCCCGTATTCCAAGAAGTCGCAGGCCTACAAACACATGCTCGAGCATAAGGACAAGTGGTACAGCCATTGGCAGACGCTTATGACCCAGATCAATCTCGAAAACTCGACCGACAAACTCCATCTCAAATCCAAAGAGCTCGTTCTGCCATACTTGTTTTACGTGGAGATGATCAGTACGATCGTCCCCATCTCTACAACAAAGCAGAATGATTTGGGAATTCATCTCAAGCAAGCTTGGGACCTGTTGGAATCGATTTTCGGCAAAGAAACCGTTGCTGATAAGCAAGGCAAGGGAAAGATCTATGAGAAATTCAGCAACTATGACCGCTTCAACTCTCTCGGTCTGTCGAGTAAAGTGTCCGCCCTCTGGGACCTCTTGGAGCTTTGGCTGGATACTCATCGGCCAACTTTGAGTGATGAGATCCGGGCTTTTGGGAGAACTTTTCACACTATCAAAGCGTTCTTCAATTCTCTCTTCTTTCTTTCTGTTGAGAATCTCACTCAGAAATTCGCTCAAATAGAATGAGTCCTCTTTTGACTGGTTGAAAAGTCATGTCGACCTATGAGTATTCAGAAGTTCTTTTGGACAAGCGGATAATTGGTTCATGGACCTTATTGTCCCTGGTATTTCTTGATCAGTCAAACCCGCCAAAATATGTATCGCCTAAGTTCCAAATTCAAGTTTGTATGTATCTGCAGTACATGTAGCACAATTGTAACTTCAAGTAATTGCAACCTGATTGGTTTTTGATCACTATCGTTCCGTTCCAGGTCTAGTTACCACAACTCTTTCTTCAGCCTACTATGTAGTGAGCATCCACGAGGAATTCTGCTTTCAATTCTACAACCAGTCCAAATTAATCCTGATCAATTTTTTGTTGACCAATGGATATTTAAGTGTGATTGGCCACACAATCCTTGGTAACACTGGGAGGTTACGCTACCAGTAACGGTAGCGTAACAATAACGCAACGAAACCAGGGCTGTTAGCGTTGCAATAATCACAACGGCCTTTCCATTACGTTTTATTTTTTATTTTTTCTTATTTTTTTGGTGTTACGTTATCCACAGCGCAAAAAGGTGGATTAACAAATGAATAACTAGGTTAATAACGCAGAAAACTTGTTGTTTGTGTTATTTTTCTGGGTAACAAGGGAGAAACCCCCTTCGTTATGTTACTCATGACCCAAAAACCCATTTTGCCTGGATAACACTAACAGCGTTATCTGGACAGCTGGGAAGTTATGTTACAAAAATCCCTTCGGATATCGTAACATATGTAACTTCCCAGTGTTGTCCTTGGCAAACATGAGAGATGATCTCATTTGGGGCCAAAAAAATGTTCAGATACCAGTGTCCAGAGTATCTGGATCTGGTGGAATGTTGGACAAAGTCAGGCTGTTATAGGAGCAGCTTGTCTGTATTAGTAAGAAAGATTGATCAACTTGCCTGTCCTGGTCCTTTTGAATTATAGACTTGATTCAAAATTGTTCTGTATAATCGTCGGAATTATTATGTTGATATTTGTGAATGAGCATACACATGCTCTGAGGACAACTGATTAACCACAATGAGAGAAGCAAAAGCAAAAAGCACCAATTATTCCCTGCACAAAGCTTACTATCAGTGGTACCCCAACTTGAAGATGTGATCAATTGTATCTAGCTGTTATGAGCTGTGGAGGACTGGAACTGGGGACGTTACATATGTAGAGAGCTTGTTACGTACATGTCACAAACTTCAAACTTGGAGTTCGTTTGAGATCCACACCTTGTACATACATTCCTCATCTTGCAATCTACCATCAAGACTCAGAACCCTGAAGATCCCTCACCTGCTCTCACCAGAACACCCATAACACTAGCCCAGTCAATCCTTAAGATCCTTGAGAAGGTTGAGGTTTGGTTACACATATGACAAACAGAAGTTATGGTTTGAAGCACAAAAATCAAATGGATTTGATGAGAGAATTAATGGAGGGTTCATCATGAAAAAGGAAGAAAAGGCCACGTAATTCCAAAGCTTTCAGGCCAGCATTTTGACTTTTTGTACTGGTAAGACCCTCTTTCAGATTCCTCCTCTGCAAGGAGAGGGGAGCTAAGGCATTATCCTGGGGCTTGGGAAGGGGCTGGAGGGTTGTCCTGAGGAAGGAGCCCCAGGGCCTGAGGCTTCTACCCCAAAGCCCTGGGGCTTTTGTCTTTTTTCCACTTTTTTTTTTACCAGTCAACATGCGGTGGACGCATCTACAAGACTCTTTGTTTTTAAGTGTGATCTCTCCAGTAGCATTGCACACTATGAGGTTTACCGTAATGAAGCAGAAATAACCTGAACATCAGCCTGTTGGTCAAAGTTGGAAAATAATTGAGGTCAACAAGATTGTCAAGATAGCAGAGCTGGTTCCAACCCTTGATAAAAATATGAATTGTTATTGGAGGACTTCCTGTCAGATCTGGGACCCTTGCAGAAGTTGATCTAGACCCAAAAATTCTTGATTCTTGCAGAGAAATTTGAATTTTAAGGCTCTAATCCGGCCCTGGGAGACCCGCAGATGTTGATGGGAAGTCGTCCATTGGAGGACTTCCCGTTGGATCTGGGACCCTCCTAGAAGTTGATCTAGATCCAAATATTCTTGATTCTTGCAGAGAAATTTGAATTTTAAGGCTCTAAACCGGCTCTGGGAGACCCGCTGTGGCGGCAAGAGCGCGCCTTGAACAAAGCTTTGGCCGGTTTGTTTGAGCATATGCGGAAAGCACACGGAGCTGACGCTACATACGCAAGCTGAGGAAAGCGGCGGGCATTAGTAGAAAGTCTAGTTTTCCAAGGCGCGGGGAAAGCGGGGAAAAGGCGGG